TGGGAAATCAATGTTTTAAAACAAGTGGTTTTTTTTTTTATTGTTTTCATTGCTCAAAAATCTAGATGTCTGTCAGAGATGAAGCATAATATGGGAACTATAGGTCAATCATTGTTGCGTATTGTTCAAACCATGCACAATCCCATTAATGAGCTATTTATCGAGGATTAAAAATTATCAAGAAAAGCTGCCATCAGGATCAACAGAAAACCAAATAGATTACTGCAGATCCAGCCTGTGATGCGAGTCAGGCAGGCCATCTCTACTCCTATTAATTTGGAAGCTTTATAGATGCAGTCAACAAGACGCTGTCTAGAACAACTCAGTCCTGTGTTTCATTTTTATTTTATGTGGAAATATACAATGAAGGCTTTTGACAAATATAAAAAAATCTGTTCAATTGAAAAATATCAAACACTATAATGATTAATTCAAAGACATACAATGTTTGCTTGCCATGTTGTGTCAAACAAGTAAAGGAAGATTCTGCAAGTACTTATGCCCATGAACATTCAAGATCTTATGTGTTAGCAATAAAACTTGAGATAGAATATATTTGCAAGGAAGCATCCCAATCAATGTTGGAATGTGTACTAATGTTCTGCAGCTTTGTCTGCCAACTGCACTTCTGAACATTATTGTTGAAGGAGGATTTACTTATGGAGATTGCAGCAATCCAACTCAAAATAATAAACCAATAAAATGCTTAAGCACATGAAAGCCCAAGAAAGAATTTCAGAACATTTAAACACACACTCACTGTACAATTATCTATTAAATTATCAGGCATTCTTTGATTTATGCAGCACTGATCTCATATATGTAACTCTGGGTGGCTTATAATAAAATATATAATTCACAATAAAAAACATAGCAGCTGTTTCATTAAAAATCTTCAACAACATCAAGACTATATCACACTCACAGGGCTTCTGGCCAAGCACAAAACCAAGTTTTTGCAAGTCAACCACATATGATAAAATGAACCTGGATTTTGACTACATTTCCAGATTAGAAATCCTTTTATACGTTTTGGTTAGTCTATCTGGGGTCAAGTACCAATGATACATAATTTTATATAAGTTCTCTTTCAAAGTATAATTTAATGTAAATTTTAGTCCCTTCATCCATGCATTCTCCCATTTATCTAGTGTTATATCATACCAACATTTTTTTGGCATTTATATAAACACAACTGTATATTTATTAGGCAAGTTTCAGAGTGGAGTACAGTAATGTCAAGACATGACCACCAAGTGGTTCTGCTTGTCATTTTTATTAAATAAGGGGATATATTTTAACTTCTATTTCTATTTCCTATGGATAGAATTCCCAAATAATTGTGTTATTTAGATTTTCTATATTAGTCCTTTCCAATAAAGCACAAGGTAGAATTAAGAGGGGTAATAAACCCAATGGAAGAAAACTGGTGAAAAGAACAAGAAAAGTAACATTACCTATGCCTAAAAAAATTACACTCTGACCATTTTTTAATAATCTCACATATCTGGTTCAAAGATAAAGAGGTGTGTGCGTGTGTGTGTGTTGTATATACTGTATAGCATACAGAGAGTGAAATACGTATATTCCTTTGATTTTCTGCAGGCAGCAGTTTATGACAGACTTTGGACCAGAAGCTAATCAGGATCAATTCTTTCGGGTACTTGGTGCTCTTTAAGCTTGTTGGTTTTCTTATAGTTCATTACCACACTAGGTAACATCACCAGTGAGTGCACCTAGTTTGGTAATGAAACATCTGCAAAAAACAAAACAAAACAAAACACCCCGACTAAATTCAGAGAGCACCAAGGACCTCACACTTTAATCCTGAGCTACAAATATTCTCTTCTATCAGAATCAACTTTAGAAAATACTTGGATGGGAATCTCCAGAATATAAGGATTAAAGGTAAACTGGGAAAACATTGATAAAACATTTCCATACTCCTGTCAAGTAAACTGTAAGAGATATGTTTCAAGTAGTTACCAAAAGTTGGGTTTGACTTGAAAGAGACTTTTTGAATCAGAGTGATAGAAAAATTAGCAGCATGCTAAGAATAATATTCAGATCTTATTTCCGGATTTTGCTACATGATATAAACAATTTGAAAATACCATTTCTGTGTACAACTACCTTGATAGGTTAGGTTAAAAAACATTGAATGTCTAAACAGAATGTCAGATCTTTATCACATTGGTGCCTGAGTATCTCTCTTGCATAACTAGATATTTGGCCATAAGCACTATATAGTAGATGAAATCTGCATCTTTAAACCAATGATAGCTTATAGTCAGGCATGCCAGATGAATATTAGTCTAAACAGGTCAATCACAGATGCCTATCTCTGGAAAATTTGGTATATAAAATTGGATTTACTTATATAAGGCTATAATTAGGATCGGTTTTTTTTAATAGAAAGAAAAAAAATACCATTTTAAAGATTGGATGGTTGGAATAAGTAAATTACACTACAGTTTTTAAAACATGATTTAATTTTATACCACAGGTTTATTATTATAAAAATAAAGTTTACAGAAGAAAAAGGGCAATAAAATAAAAGCCTCAAAGGAGACTCCAAATATAGAAATCTAATATGGTATATGCAACATAATTCAATTTATTGTCTTTAAATAAAAACATGTATTAATAGAAGCTTATTTTTCTTTAGTATTTAATAGTTAAATAAAGGAATAGTAGGGTTTCAGTTTATAAGAAATGTATACACTAATTAATCCAGCTGTTACTTATTGAAAAAATACATTCCTGACAGAGCTACCCAAATTCTCCTCAAACATATCTGTCAAAGAGAAGTCGTATGATTCTAACAACCAAATGCTATTATTTAGGAAGTTTGTAAAATTTTATCTGAATCAACATTCCTGTAACTTAAGTTTATCATTCTATTTCATTTATTGTGGAGTGGCAGAGGACAAGTCCTGAAATTTTCCGTATGCCTCTTTTCAGGTATTTAAAGAGTTATATCACATTATTGTCCTCATTCTCCTTTCTCAAAGCTAACCATTTCAGGTTCCTTAATTTTCTTTTAAAAAGCTTACATTTTTGAATTTTGGTAGTTTATGTTGTCCTTCTCTAAACCTGTTCCACTTTCTCTAATTCCTCCTTAACAGTGATAAGCAGAACTAGCTATTATGCTTAACACAGACTATCAATGCAGAAAGAATTAAATGAGCCTTTCTGTGATTTATTGATCATACAATCCCAAATTGCCTTTTTTTTGCAAACTGTTGACCTATGTTCTAATTGTAATATATCATTTATAAATGAAATATTAGGAAATATCTCATAATCCATTTTTCCATTAGGAAATAGTAGCATAAAAACCCATGGGATTTCTTCTTGCAATTTTTTGCTTTTCTGGTCTTTCACACTTCTAGTTAAATGATATAAATTATCTGGATGATCTTGGAAAAGACACTTTTCACTCTTTACATATTAATTTAGAAATTAATCTTCTGAGACCAATATCATTTCCTCCCATATAATGGCTTCTACCATGTCTGCTTATATGCAAAAGGGTATGGAGGATGTCAGTGTTTTTAAGCCTTTTGTCATACGATCAAATGAGAAACCTTGGATGTCACAGAAGGTCTGTGTGATGTTGAAGGTGAGAAACACAGCTTTCAAATCAAGTGATGTGGCAGCACTTAGAATAGCAAGAGCTGATCTGAGACATGCTAAAAAACAGCAAAGCGGGCATATAGTCAGAAAGTACAGAACTTCTTTCAAGTTCCTATGGACTCGAGATGTATGAGGCAAGGTATTCGGGTCATTATATAAGACAGCTTTCCTGACATGTAAGGGTGACACAGATTCTCTAAATAAACTGAATATGTTTTTTGGATGGTTTGAGGCCACAATCAACATTCCAGCAAAGAAGGCTGTTCCCCTCCCTGATGAGCAGGCAGTCAGGTTTGATACAACTGCTGTTCGGAAGTTCCTGCGGAAAGTCAATACCCAGAAAGCTGTTGGTCCTGATAATATCCCTGGGTGAGTACTTAAGGAGTGTGCTGACCAGCTGGCCACTGTTCTCACAGACATCTTCAACCTCTTGTTGCATCAGGCCATGGTTCCATCATGTTTTAAGACTGCCATCATTGTATCAATGACCCCAAAAACTATATTGCATGCCTTAAATGGTTACCGTCCAATTGCACTCACTTCCATTATGATGAAGTGTTTTGAGAGATTGGACTATATGGTTTCATGCCTTCCCCCTTCCCCCTTTGACTCATTACAGTTTGCCTATCGGAAGAACCACTCTATAGATTATGCACTTTCCTATGTGCTTCAACTTAGCTTGGCACATCTGGAGGAGAAGAATACTCCTGTGCAAATGCTGTTTCTTGATTTTAGTTTGGCGTTCAACACAATCATTCCTCAGCATTTGGTGAACAAACTGGACCTATTAAGTTTTAATAATGCCTTAATTTAATTGGATACTGGATTTCCTTATTGATAGGTCCCAGTTTGTGCAAATTTGAATAAAAGTTTCCAATTCCATCCCCTTGTGTTCAGATTCCCCACAGGGCTATGTCTTGAGTCTGCTACTGTTCACCTTGATGACCCACGACTGCTGTGCCAAGTCTGCTACAAACCATATTGTGAAGTATGCAGATGATATAGCAATGGTGGGTCTTATCCGGGATGACAATGAAGATGCTTAAAGGGAAGAGCTGAAGGCTGGCTCTGGTGGACTGGTGCAATAAAAGTAACTTGGTTCTAAATGTTAATAAAACAAAGGAGATCAATTTAGATTTTAGAAAGAGCCGGCATGGTCATACTCAGTATCAAGGATGCAGCTGTAGAGATGGTCAACAGTATTAAATATCTGGGGGTGCAGATAACTAACACTCTGAACTGGTCTCTCCACATGTCATCCTCAGTGAAGCGTGCAAACCAGCGTCTGCATTTCCTGCATTGGATGAAGAGAGCAGGAAATCTTTCTCCTTCTATCCTGGCCACTTTTTACAGAAGTACGATTGAGAGCATTTTAACAAACTGCATCACTGTTTGGTTTGGTGGTTGCAGTGCCTCAGAGAGAAAGTTCATTCAGAGAGTGGTAAGGACAAGCAAGAAGATTATAGGAAGATGGCTTCCTGTCATTCAGGATACTGCTTATAAGCGCTATGTACTTAGAGTTCAAAGCATTGTTAGAGACCCCACACACCCACCTCACGGTCTGTTTCTGTTGCTGCCCTCTGGGAGGAGGTTTCAAAATATGTCTAGCAGACTACCAGATTCTGTAACAGCTTTGTTCCCTATGCTATCCTCTGGTAAACCTGCATGATTGGTTTTTCTCACCATATACATGCATACATCAGAAATAGACCGTATTGTTTCTCAGTGTCATTATATGTGGATATATGCATAATTTTGTATGTATGTATGTATATATGTATGTATTTTGTTATGTTTATGTAGTGTACATTGGAGGTTGTGACCCTTTGAGAGCTGTATGCAACAAAATTTCATTTTAATATATGCCTATTAGTGTACATTCAAAGTGACAATAAAGTTATTCTAAGTCTTCTTCTAAGTCTAAGTCTTTACTTAGTGATTCTTCCCTAACTATAGAAGGTAAGGTAAGATAAAGGAGTCTCTGCGAATTTTACTCTGCTAGTCATTGCCAATTATAGGAGGTGGTGCTCATCTCCGTTTCAAGGCCATTGAGCCAGCGCTGTCCGAAGACATTACTGCAGTCATGTGGCCAGCATGACATCATGGAGCGCTGTTACCTTTTCACCGATGTGGTACCTATTTATTGACTCGCATTTTCATGCTTGCAAACTGCTGGGTCGGCAGGATTTGGGGCAAGTAATGGGAGCTCACCCTATTGTGTGGAGCTTGGGTCTTGAACCTGGGCTGACGGCTATCCAGCCGACAAGTCCAGCATCTTAACTGCTAAGCCATGGCACCGCTATAGGAGAGAAGCAACAAAAAATAACTAAAGTTATGTTCAACTCTTTTCACAAATTGCATATTCACAAGCAACAAAATATCTTTCCTTAGCATTCTTAAACTGAAGAATAGTAATAATACTTTTGATAAAGCCTTCTGGTTTTTGCTTTTCAGGCATTAATGGCCATTCTAAATGTTACAAGGCTTTTCCAAAGTTCCAAGAACTTTGATCTGAAATGGACGTTGGACTTGCCTGATACGTCCATTCTCAGCATGAAGAAAGCGTCAGTCAGGATGGGGAAAACGCCTCCGTCTAGCGTATGACCGAGTCTTGCAACTTGAAGCTCCGCCCTTCCGGTTACCCCAGTTCTTCGGCGAGGGCGAAGGTGCAGACCCGTGAGACCTGTCTTCCTACAACGACAAAGAATTAGAAGACAACCCCCCCCCAGCCACCACCGGACCGGATCCAGACGGGTGGGGCTGACTGACGCTTTCTTCATGCTGAGAATGGACGTATTAGGTAAGTCCAACGTCCATTCTCCAGCAAGCATGAAAGGGTCAGTCAGGATGGGGACATAGCAAAGCTTGATGTCACCAGGGAGGGAAGAAACGGTCCCGGTGTCACTCAGGTCCGATGAACCGCCTGAAGGACCCTTCTGCCGAATGCCGCATGGGACGATGCAAAGGAGTCCACTCTGTAATGTCTGATGAAAGGGCTCGAGTGACGCCTGTGTCGACCATGCTGCGGATGTTGCCGCGCTCCTGGTTGAGTGCGCCGTGATCCGGCGTGGAGGGACAGAATCTGAGTGGCGGTAAACCAAGGCGATCGCGGCCCTGATCCAACGGCCCAAGGTAGATGATGGCACCCGGGATCCTATGGACGTAGGGTGAAATGCTACGAAGAGAGCCTCTGATTTCCGATGAGCTGCAGTCCGGCTGATGTATATCTTAAGTGCCCGGCGGACATCGAGGGTGTGCCACGCGCGTTCCAGCTGGTGTGAAAGACGTGGGCAAAAGTCCGGAAGCACGAGCTCCTGTGCCCTATGGAAGGGCGAGTTAACTTTGGGTAGAAATGCCGGATCTAGGTGGAGGACCACCCTGTCGTTATGAAAAATGCATAGGTCCGCTCGGATGGATAACGCCGCGAGCTCCGAAATGTGGTGGGCGGAGGTGATCGCCATTAGAAAGGCCACCTTTAAGGAAAGAAACCTGAGGGAGACAGAGCGGAGAGGCTCGAACGGAGGGGACATGAGGGCGGTCAGGACTTTGTTGAGGTTCCAGGAAAGGAACCGGTGAATGGTCGGAGGCCGTAAGTTGGTAGCGCCCCGCAGGAAAGTTTGGATAATGGGGCGACGAGAGATGGAGTCCGTGGAACCACAGGTCAGTATAGATGCAATGGCGGCCACTTGGCGGCACAGAGTATTTGGGGCGAGGCCCTTGTCCAAACTGGCCTGAAGGAACGACAGAACATGAAGTATGGAAGCCGATGTCGGAGACACCGGAACTGATTCACACCAGGAAGTAAAGACACGCCAGGTGGCTTCGTAAATTCGGACCGTGGAGGGCCGGTGAGCCGCTTGAATTGTGGGAATCACCAGAGCTGGAACGTGGACTGCGGTTAGGAGGAACCGCTCAACCGCCAGACGGTCAAGCGAAGCCAACCCGGATCCGGATGGAGGAGAGCCCCTTGCAACAATTGAATCTCGGAGGTTGGAATTTGCCATGACGGGGAGACCGATAGGGTCATCAAGTCCGCAAACCATGGGCGCATGGGCCAATAAGGGGTGACTAAGAGCAGTTGCGCCTGCTCCTCGAGGAGCTTCTGGATCACCTTGGGAATCACAGGTAAGGGTGGGAAAGCGTAAAGAAGGCCGGACGGCCACTGACTACGGAGAGCATCCGTGGCTTCCCTCATAGATCCAGGAATCTCAAAAAATAACGTGGAAGTTGGTGGTTCGTCTGAGAAGCAAACAGGTCCACAAGGGGTGTCCCGAACCTGGTCGAGATTTCTTGAAACAGAGACGGAGAGATTGACCACTTCCCGTGGTCCACCCATGCCCGGCTGAGGGAATCTGCCTGAACATTTGCTGCTCCGGATATGTGGTCCGCCCGGATAAAGGATAGGTGGGTCTCGGCCCACAGGCCCAGGAGCTGGGCTTCGGCCATCAGAGAGCGTGAACGGGTGCCCCCCAGCTTGTTCACATGGGCCTTGGCAGTGGTGTTGTCCGTTAAGACTAATACGTCCTTCCCTTCCACCAGATCCCGGAAGTGGAGCAAGGCGAGTCGTATGGCCTGGAGCTCCAGCAAGTTGATGTTGAGGTGAGTCTCCATGGATGACCACCGACCCTGCGTCATATGATGCAGAAGGTGGGCCCCCCAGCCCGAGAGGCTGGCGTATGTAGTCAGTTGAATCCGAAGGGGCTCCCGGAAGAAGGAGCCACGGGACAAGGCGTCTGAGGTCCACCAACGAAGGGAGTGGAGCACTGGAACTGGCAATCGAATGTGTCGTGGTGAAGTATCCTGAAGCGACCTTTGGAAGGGGAGCAGGAGCCACTGAAGGTCCCTGCTATGCAATCGGGACCACGGAGTGATGCCAAAGGTGGACACCATCATCCCCAATAGTCGTGAAAGAGTGGAAATGGGGGCGGAGCCAGAAGTTAGACACTGACGCGCCAAGGCTCGCAGGCTGGCCTGGCAGTCCGGGGAAAGTGAAACCGTGGAAGAGACAGTATCAATTAGGGCCACCAAATGAAGAATGCGGGTAGAGGGGGATAGATGGCTCTTGTCCCAGTTGATAGAGAACCCATGTGCCTGTAGGGAATTTAGCACCGTGACCAAATCTGCCCGAGCTTCTGAATGAAGAGAGGGAGAGAGGATCAAAATATCATCCAAATAAAATTGAAGGCACAGGGGTTTGGAGTGAATATGGCCCGCCAAAGCGGCCATCAGCTTCGTGAAAACCCAGGGGGCTGAGGACAACCCGAAGGGCAGAGCCTTATACTGAAAATGAGAACCTCTAAAGGCAAAGAGGAGAAAACTGCGGTGGGAGGGCAAAATGGGTACATGGAGGTAGGCCTCCGTTAAATCGATTGATGATAGAAAATCAGAAGCGCGAACCAATTCCAAGATCGAGGAGAGGGATTGCATCTTGAACCGGCAGTACTTAATGTGCCGGTTCAAGGCCTTCAGGTCTAAAATGGGCCGCCAACCCCCCGAGGACTTCTGGACCACAAAGAGACGGGAGTAGAACCCGTGACCTTGCTGGGAAGGGGGAACCCGCTCAATGGCTGAGATCTCTAAGAGATGGTTGATAGCAGCCGAAATAAGGTCCCTTTGTGATTTGTCCCGAGAGACGGGACAGGGAACAAAGCGGGAGGGGGGAAGAGAAGACAACTCTAGGGACAGCCCAAAGGAAATAGTGTTAAGCACCCAGGGATCGGAGGTAGAAGCCTCCCATTGAGAAAGAAACAAGGAAAGGAGACCACCAATGGGAGCCTGGGAAGGCCTTCTATCTAGACCTGTGAGGGAAACGTCCCCCCTCCTTCCCCGAGGGGAACGTCGGGGGGGAAACCTGGGCCCCTGCCTAACCTGGGACTCCTGCTGCGGTCTGGAGGAGTAGGATCGCCGAAAGCGAGGTTGGAAAGAGGAGGAGCTGGAGGCACGAAAGGACTGGAATCTAGACGATGAAGAATACCGTGACTCCCCTTGACGAGTAGGAGGCGGCAATATCTTCCGATGATCTCTGGTTTTGACGAGGAGGGGTTCCAAAGCCGATCCAAACAGGGAACCCACTGAGTAAGGCGAAGACGCGAGCTGCCACTTGCTGCGCATGTCGGCCTGCCAATTCCAAAGCCATAACAGGCGGCGCGATGTCACATTGGATCCCAATGCCCTGGCAGAAAACCTCGTCGAGTTCAAAGTGGCATCCGCTGAATATTCCAGAGCCGCCGTGATTTTATTCAAATCTTGATGGGCACGAGAGTCAGACAAGGGCAGACGAGCTTGCAGTTGCTTAAGCCAGAGCAATGCAGCTCTGTTGAAAAAGGAAGCTGAAGTGGATGCCCTAATGGCCCACGCGGTAGCTTGGTGACCCTTGAGAAGGGTTTTTTCCACCCTCTTGTCCTCCGGCCGGAGGGAGTCTTCCGTCGAGCCAGTGGGATGAGCCGTATTCGTCAAAGCTACTATCGGGGGATCCACTTTGGGCACCTGTAAGAGGTCCGCCAAGGGAGCGGCAGAATTATATAGCCGCTTATCTAGCCCGTTCGGGCTGGGCCCCGCCCCCGGCAGATTCCTTTGGCGTTGTAAGATGTCAGTAAATAACTTGGGAGCCGGGATGGTCTCCGGATCAATCGTGGGCTCCGCAAACATAGCTGTTGCTGGATCATCAGAGGCAGAAGTCGGAACAGAGGTAGGGGGGACCCCCAAGCGAGTCGTGGCAATTGCCTTAAAAAGAAGCGAACGGAACATGTGCGGTTTGAAGAGACCAACGAATGAGGGCTGGTCAGGACCCAAACCCTCGTCATCAGACCAAGCCTCGTCTTGGTAGTCTTCATTCTCTGAGACGGAAGCTTGATCATTGGCACATTGAAAATCCATTTGGTCCCATTACCGGTGGAAGTCGCCTCTAGAGCTTCTCTGAGGGTTGGACAAAGTAAGAACAGGAGCAGCAGGAGCCTGCTGTAAGCATTCCGCTCGTCCTTGACGAATAGCCCGTGAAATGAAGGCCTCCAAGGAATCCGCCATAGGAATAGATGGAGGCGGAGGCGGCTGCACCAAGGAGTCCTGAGGAGATGGTCCAGGCTCTGGAAGGGACTGGAATAGGCGGTGGGAATCCGAGGGGGGGGCACCAGGCGAAGTGTCAGGCACATCAGGGGAGAGCTCCCGTACCGATCATGGTGATCGGGCCCGAGATCCTGGCAATGAGGCAGGCCTGCCCTCGATGGTGGAAGAGGCCTGAGATTGAGCCTTTTGAAAGGCTTTCTCAATTCCCCTGTGGCGCCTCTGCTCCTCACGAGAAATTGCCATAGAGGCAGAGGAGGAGGTTCCCGTCTTCGTCCTGCTCTTCTTTGCAGGGGGTGGATGACCGGCTGATGATCCCTCAAGAGGATCACTGTCATGACGGTGGCGGGAGGAGGTGCTGCCGCGCTCATTTGCGTCGCGCCGCGTGGCATCCGCCATTTTAAGCCGAAATAGATGCAGCCGAGGGAAACAATTAAGGGCTTGAATTACCGAGCCGCAGTCCTCGTAGGTCTGCTAAGAGCCGAATCGCTGTCGGGCGAGTCTCTAGAAGGTCGCTAGCCGTCCGGCTATTAGTGCGACTAAAAACGGCGAGCCGCCGCTCCAGCCGATAGAGGGAAGCTGCTAGGCAAAGGCCTTTTAAATGCAGCAATTCTCCCGTGCGGGAGAGAGCTCCAGCTGGCAGGCGGTGATAGACCTGCAGCGTAACAAGCCGATAGCTGAGAGAGAAGCCGTTGAGGTAAATTCCGATCAAAAAAGCCGTGAAAGCGTACAGGGATGGAAGACACGTCTAGTCACGCATAGACCGAGTTGAAGAACTGGGGTAACCGGAAGGGCGGAGTTTCAAGTTGCAAGATTCGGTCATACGCTAGACGGAGGCGTTTTCCCCATCCTGACTGACGCTTTCATGCTTGCTGGAGAACAGATTTATCCCCATCAAGATGAAAATGAAGATCAATTGTACTCTGTTCAAAAAGAATTTCTGCCATACATACTAATATGCATCTAAGTACTTTAAGAACCATACCTTCTCATATTATCTGGATTATGCCCTATGATCAGATGGAGAAACAATGTTTTTGTCTCCCTCCAAAGTTGCAGAATTGTAGAGTTTTCCTCTGTGAAAGTTTGGCCATGTCTTTTTAACTTCTTCTACAGTTGGAAGCAATTTTGTTTAGGCATGTTTTTTATTAATTCTGTTGATTTTAATTATTCACTATGTTATTTGATTTATTTGTTGATTGATTTAATTTATTGATTGACTCCTTTAATTTTGCAAATTTAACTTTGTTAACTGGCTTGAGTACTACTCTTATATGACATTATAAAATATAACCTAATAATGAATTCATTTATTGGCTAAGCTGCTCTTTTTTTAAATAAAATTATAGTATTCAGAATGTACCAATTCATTGACTACTTAAGAGAATAAGAATAATAGAAAAGTAATTCTTACCAATATAGTCCAGAGTATAAGCATTAGTTTAACCCTCTGAGAAATCATATTTCTTTTGTAAACTCACTGTAAGCCTGACTGACTCTTTTAAACTTAGGTCATGCCACCTGGCAGGCAACTAAAAGTTATGCACATTATATAACAAGAAAAACACAATTGGTTCACTATATACAACTGTCTTATTCAATTAAATTGAATCCAATGTGTTTTAGAGCTCACATAAGATCAATTCAACTGATAGAATGTTTTATCCCATTCCAGTTTCCTATGCAATATGTACTTTCTCCATTACAAAATATGTTTACTACTGTAATTTTTGATATTATGCTAGCACACATTACACATGTTAACAGTGATTTTAGTACTTGGAATCAGAAGATCATAAAATCTTTATTAATGCACTATTGTAAAGTAATACCAATAGAGCCTTAGAAAACTTAAAACAGGTAACTCACAAACCGCAACATAGTTAAATAGTCACATTTTGACAAATGCTTCACTGTAAAATGATCTGATATTCTAAGTTTGTTCTTTCCATTTATCTCTCAAGTCAAACCATCATAGCCAATAGATGCACTGAATTTATACAGTCTTATTACTGTATATGTAAACTAGGCTTTTTTGTGCAAAAATATACAAATCTCTGTTTTTTAAATAGGGATGGGAAACTTTTATGAGGAAGTTCTTTAGCGAAAGACTGGTATTCCTAATAAACCCAGTTTATTTTGATTTAGTTCAAATGACTGTGTCAAGAATAGGACAATTAGCCCAAAGGCAACACAATTACTTTTGAAGCCAGCTATTTATTCTGACTGGCTGAATAAATTTATTGGAACTTCAAAATTTGGGGAGTCTGCCATTCAAACATTCAATTTTACATTCGAAACAGAGTTGCTGTTACTAGGAAAGCATCACTGTACTGTGAATTTTTATACTTGCAGATTAGCTAGCAGCTAATTATAGTGTGCTCTCCCTCGATGATAAGGCAGTAGCAATGTCTCCATCAATCAGTGAAGAAATCAAACCATTTTGCAAAAATGTTATTACTTATGAAAAGAGCTCCCAAGTTTCAAAAGCCTTTGCAACTGGAACAAGAGTAAACTGCACCTGGGTGGAAGGTGGTCAATTAATTCCATGTGATCTGGATTTTTGTCCAGAAGTACAGCATGCCTTCTGTTAGGATGGTAGAAAAGATTTACAACTGTGACATTAGATCTTAATCAAATTATAAAACAATGTGTATATATTCTCTATGTAGTAATCCGTGTAGTTATTACTCATTTGTAAATAGGACAGTTTCTATTTAGAAAAAATCTCAACATAGAAGATAACTATCCATTAATTACTTGATTAATACTAATTTTAATCTATCCAACCATAGGAAAGAAGAAGATAAAGCAAAATAGAAAAAATATTTTTGTAACCATGAGGCCAATCTTACTCCAAGCACTTGTAAAGAGAGGGGCTGCTTTTTCACTTCTTCAAAGTGCAAATTTGCTGATATGCAGATAAGAAAAATCCTTGACTGCAAAGCTGGAATATAACAATAAATTTCTTTAACATAATTATGTGTTGAATTATTTTTATTCGAAAGAGAATAATCATACTACTTCTAATTAAAAAGTAATGGTATGTGAGCAAGTGTTTATTTTCTTTTTCAAAATTGTTGCAAGTTTACATTTTGCTAATTATTTTAACCCTCAACCTCCCTAACTAATAAATAGTTCTGTATAAAATATTAAGGTAATACAGCAAAATTACCTGGCAAACAACCTGTCAAAATTAAGCTGAGGTTTCTTTTGACATGATCCCCTTATGATTCACTCAATCTAGCAGGACAATTATGAATTTTCATAATGAACCAGAATTTGGCAGTAAATCTCAGGCTCCCAATTTTATGCAGATTCACTTGAAAACTGATTGGATACACAGTCACTATAAATGTGCAGTTCTCACATGCACCTAAATTCTTCTCCCTCCCACTTTTCCCACATTTAAATAGATTCTTTTGACCTGTGCGTCATGATCTTGAAGCCAATACATCTTTATTGTTAGCATAGCTAAGATTTCTGCCCAAAGAACTACTGGCTCTAAGTTTATTGCTCCCATTATTCTCCTCTCTATCTCTATTTTCGCCCTTCTGTTACCTAGATGGACCATCCCCTTCTCTCCCTGACTCAGAACAAAGGTGTTTCTCCTCCCTGCTTTATCTCCATGGAGATAGTACTGAGCGAAGAAGTTTTAGAAAAGTTTTCAGTCTCCATTTGTTGTTCTGCTGATGATAACAAGACCTAAATCCTTTCAGGATTCATCTCTTCTAGTCTAGAGGCTGAAGAAACATTATTCTCTGTGCCTTCCTCCTTGGAGACACAACTTCCTTCCCTTGCTCTACCCACTCCCTCTCTTCCTTAGTGTTGGAATGACTGGAAGCTTCAGAAATGTTAATTATACAACCACTTACGTGCTTTCAATTTCTGAGGATACATGAATACAAAAGTTGAATGATGTGCGTTACAGGTGCACGATGAATGTCTGTGTAAGCTTTCCAATAAATCAATACACAAGCCTGCCCTTTTGCTAGAATTGCTGAGATTCCAGAATGCATAAGGGACCGATAGAATACAGTACTCTCATAGCGGAAGGGAACAGTTAGAAACTCAGTGTATTTTTAATGTGGTTAGATGCTGCTGTTGAAAAGCTTCAGAATCGATTTGTACTATGACAGGAGATGCTCCAATAAACTTGGCAGCCAGATTGTTAGGCAGATGTGCGGAGAGGAGAAATTTAATAGAAAGACAGATGAATTTTTCAACTACATAACTCAGAAGGATGTAATGTCCAGGAGAGAACTTGCTGCTGGGCTTGCTGCAATCTAGTTATCTTTAAGGAGATACTAAGCTGCCTGAGCTTCTGAAGGAATCGGGAATCTCCTGGAATAAGTGAAGTCTGAAAGGCATTCAGCTGAAAACTAGATCCGAGATGACTACATGTCGCTTTTGACTTATAACAATTTGTCTAGTGAGAATTCAAGTTACAACGTCATTGAAAAAGTAACTTATGACCAGTTCTCACACAACCATTGCAGCATTCCCATGATCACCTTATCAAAATTCTGGTGCTTGGCAACTAGCATGTATTTCTGATGGTTATACTGTCCCAGGTCATGTGAGGTCATGTGATTACCATTACCCAGCCAGCTTTTGTCAAACAAATTCAATGAGGGAAGCCAAATTCTCTTAGCAACCACATAATTCATTTAACAACCATGGCAAAAAGGTTGTATGGAGGATGATTCACTTAACAACTGCCTTGCTTAGCAATGCAAATGTTGTAACTGCCTTTTTAAACAATTGAAACACACACACACACACACACACAGTCATTCTGGAGCAATATTCCATATTTCCAGAAAATGGAGGAGTACTCTCTGAAAGACATTCATCCTAGACCACATACAGCCTTGGTAGCACAGTGGACTAATGCACTGTTATTAACTGTTATTAACATCTGCTGCTTGCAATTACTGCAAGTTCAAATCCTACCAGGCTCAAGGTTGACTCAGCCTTCCATCCTTTCAAAGGTAGGTGAAATGAGGACCCAGATTGTGGGGGCAATAACCTGATTTTGTATAAATATACAAAAGTATGAAGGCTATTGCTTAACGCATTGTAAGCTGCCCTGAGTCTCCAGAGAAGGACGGCATATAAATTAAAGCAAAAAAAACCCAACAACATACAAAACTTCTTTTCTCACTGAGAATGCATTTGATCAACTAAAAGAATCTCCCTTCTTGCTTTAAGAATCTCATGGTGGGCAGGTGTTATATCAGAAATAAGCTGTAATGTTTATGTAATATACACTTCCCAGATGAAATTATTCTATTGGTTTCTGAATTATTTAATAAAAATTCATACACAACTCAAACTAATATGGAAATATGTTAGAACAAAATTATGTTGGGAGCAATTTGTATGTTATCAATCTAGCAGACAGATTCTTCCCAACCAAATTCAGTCATTTCATATTTGAATCAGGATAGCTTATGGTCTGATAATTACATTTTTATAATCTCTCACAAACCATGAGCCACATACTGTTTAAATGAACATGAAGCAGACTATTGAGAGAAGTGGGGCCAACATGAGAGGAAAGCAAGTGGATTAGATAGCAAGAATTGGAAAACAAGTGTTTCCTATCTCATCTGTATTAAAGGTGCAGCAAGCTTACTCTTGGCTTTAGTTTAAGAAAACATGTGCCAAAACTGGGAACAAGCTTCTTTTGTCATATTGTAAGAAGTGGGTCTGAAGTAGACCAGTTATATGTGCCAAAAACAATCCATTGGAGTTTGCCGTTTACGAAGGCTTCCATAATTGCTTTTGAAGAGAATCAAAGCAGTAAGCCTTTTATTTATTTATTTTCCAGTACTCAATGAACATGATGAAAGGACAGCCCACATTTGCTCTAGGAAAGTCACTTGTCTTCTGTCCAACTTTATTTTTTTAAGACGTTGAACACTGTTTACCATAGCCCTTGAAGTGAGGTACCCTTAAACTGTGTTTTGAGAGATAGTTTGTGTATTTTGCTTTAGACAAATTCTTCCACAAGCCCATAAGCAGGTCAGCCTTTTAAACCCAGGCCAAATAAGGTTGCCAAATTGCAAATGTGCTTTTGTGAAACCACTTACTGTATACCAGCTGTGATCTGAGAGGCAAGCAGACAAACACCAGTCCTTTCATGTCCTCCTGGCATAAAGAGAGGAGAGAGGAGAAGGAATAGTGGATAGAGGGTAGGAGAGGAGAGAGGAGAGGAGAGGAGAGGAAAATGCACATTCTATACATACATTTTAACATTTCAGCTAGCTTGGGGAGGAGAAAGGATGATACCTTTTTGACATTTTCCTCAGCATTTTCATGAAGTGAGAAAATGTAACAAAAGTTGCATTGTTTCCAAAAATGTCACTTTTATTCCTCATACTACATTATCTTGCAATGAGCTCAAAAGCCGAAATTTTAAAAAAGGAATGCATTCTGAAATGTTTTATGTTCACTCTCCCTTTTAATCTAGGTTGCTCACTGATAGATTAGAATGAGACTTACTTTGATATATGTGTTGTGGCCTGCCAGTGGCCAGTGGATCTGGCAGCAGATTCGGACAGTGATAAGGTTGGGGTGGAATATGGGCCAGTCCTGGAGTCTGGGGAAGGCTCTGATGAGGGCCCTGCATTGGAGGCAGAGAGGGGGCCAAAGCCGTATGCCAGTTATTAGTTGCCTTTGGAGTCAGACATCAGTGAGGCAGATGAACAGCTGGAGCCTGTTCCCAGTGTGCGCATGTGCAGAGTTGCCAGACGAAGGGAACTGCTAAAGAACTGGGAGTAAAGGGTCGATTTGGGAGTAAGGCCACAGGTGGATGATGAATGGCACCTCCCAGAGGGAATAAAAGAGGAGCGAAAGGGGAGTGGAGTTTGCAAGAGACAATTAGTTCACCTAATTGGTTTGTAACTCTCCAACACTCTGCCAAGTTTTGAAGATATTGGCCTGGCAGCTCTCCAAGCCAGATAAGGTCTGTGACTGTAAATTCTCCCTTGAAAGGCTTTGCTGAAGGTGAATGAGAGGAATTCACTGTTTGTTTAATAAAAGGAGTTTTGTCGGGACCAGGATTCTGCTTCGTGCTTTTTGGGGAAACCTAGGGATGCGGTGGCTCAGTGGCTAAGACGCTGAGCTTGTTGATAGAAAGGTTGACAGTTCAGCAGTTCGAATCCCTAGTGCCACGTAACAGGGTGAGCTCCTGTTACTTGTCCCAGCTTCTGCCAACCTAGCAGTTCGAAAGCACGTAAAAAATGTAAGTAGAAAAACAGGGACCACCTTTGGTGGGAAGGTAACAGCGTTCTGTGCGCCTTTGGTGGTTAGTCATGTCAGCTACATGGCCACGGAGACATCTTCAGATGACACTGGCTTTGGCTTTGAAACGGAGATGAGCACTACCCCCTAGATTTGGGAATGACTAGCACATATGTGCAAGGGGAACTTTTACCTTTACCTTAGGTCAGAACAGTATATCTAAAATATTGTTTTGTTATCCCAGTCTTATATATGGAAAGAAAAAGGAATCCCATAAAAAGGGCATGAGGAGACAACATTGAAAAGAATGAAGGAGAATATACATGTCCTAGGATAATATTGCAGGATCCAAATTGGGTCAGTCACTGGGACCAGAGGTTTTATCTTCTGAGCTTTTGGATTCCTGAAGCTCCCTGAAAATGGGCTCAAGCATGAGTCCAAAAGTTCAGAAGATAAAACCTCAAGTTCCGGTGACCAACCCAGACTGGATTCTGCAACGATGCTGAAAGTTGAGGATCTGTTAACTTAAAGAAAGAGAGGCATGCATTTCCTTATCTTTCTTTTTAAATTTAATGGAATTTATATCAAATATTTGCATCAGATACAGAATTCACTACACTGCAAATGTTCTTGATTTAAATCTCCCTTTACCAATTTAAGAATTTACAAATCTTAAAGCATTTGAGATCCCAAGTTGCTTATTCCTACTATAAAGTACTTTTTTAAAA